ATTTGGCAAGTTCAGATCATCAGACTGCAACAATTCTGCTTGCGGTCTGCATGGACCTCATAATGGTTGGCAAAGGGAATGGAACCCCGGCCAATTGTCACAGGGGGCACAAGGTACACAGGACGAACATTCAACAGTGCACCGATGGTCCTAAAGGGACGAGATGGGCCTCGAGTACAAGCCCAAATGACTAGCTACGTCATGTTGAAATCCGGTTTGATTACATTAACCGAGCTCCGCGGCATCTGAGGCCATGTGGAGCCTAGCTACGTCATGTGAAATGTCTTCCCACAATACTGCCTTCCAGGCTCTTTTTCCGCGTTGCATGGCGCCGCAGCCCATTCTATAGTGTGTGTCCCGCAATGACTCGGAAGCGCGGCGGCACATTCGGATCCGCTCCAACACGGTGAAACTGACCCACAACGCCCGCTCCCAGTTCACTGTCTTCAGACAAGGCGAGGCGCACAAACGCGCGGGCCATCGCAAGGGAGGGCAGGGGGAATGTTATCAGTGGGCACTGCAGGACACAATCCACCTCTCCCAATCTCCACGCTCGAGAGGCTCATACCCACCGTCGTCGGCATCCGTGAAGTTTCTTTTCCTCTGGCCCACCGCTCCGACGAGGAGGGACAGCAGGACCAGCCAGGCCAGCGCCCGCATCATATGATGCATCCGCCCCAGCTACAGAACCAACCCCCCTTGGCTCCCCAGAGACGCGCCGCACCCCTTCCTGCAGCCACACCGCGTCGTCAGTCCCAGGAGGGCCTCAACACGGCCTTGCGGGGCTTTCGCAAACACATTCATCTTGCTGAGGCGGAAAATGTCACGCACACCAGGGAAAGAGCCAGAGGCCAGCCGACGGTCAAACCCAGCGTGAATATCCATGCGCAGTCCAATCCCGTAGGCATGCATGCCACACAAAGGACGCTCCTCGCGGCGTTCTGTGCCTTAAGATGGCCGCTCCGGCTTTTTGCGAGTCCCCACGGTCACGAAATCAAGCGCGCGGAAAGGGCACGGTCTGGAGAGCCTTCCTCGTACGGACCTGTCCCCAGGGCAGCGGCTTCTCCCCCGTAGATTAGATACAAAGCCCCGACCGCCTCCACTGCGCCGTCGGCCGCCCCCAAGGGCTACCAGGTTAGGCGCTCCCGGCCCTTGGGTCGCAAGCCCGCCTAGCTCGGCGACCCCGAGCGGCTGGATGTGCTCGGCGGCCTTGTGGTGCCCGGAATCCCGATTTTTTGTTGGCTGGTGTTCAAGGTGACATGGATGTGACAGGCAAGCATATTGCTGGTGGCTGGACCAAAGCAGGGGGCCTGCGCGGAAGGTGGCTCCAGTGAAGCGGGGGCTGTGACCCTCCACCGGTGTCGAGGAAGGTATTGGTAAGTGCAACGGGATGCAGTCCATGCCTTCGAGGTGTGCAGCGACACGCAAAAACGCGACGCTTCTCGACCGCAAATTGGAGCCGACGCTCGAGCACGGGCTTGGTGCTGCCGCGTGAACTCAAAGTGTTTCCATATTTTGCACGGTTCAGCGATGCCAGTTAAGTGAGAACTCAGACCAGTCTGAGCGGGAAAGCACGTGGAGTCCGTAGGGAAACGGTGAGAGAAAATGGTTCAACTACGGGTCACCACGGTCGCGGAACAATTTGCTTCGGCTGGACAGGATCCTGTTCCAGCCGGAAACGCACACTGCATTGACCAACTTGCCAAATCATTTTAAAACGCTCTCATCAGTATCCCAACTCAGCACAATTCCTATGACCGGCAAAGTCAAGTTGCCCTTAGCCTGGCGATGCAAAGCAAAGTGCCAAATCCCCAGTACAACACGGCGTCATTTTAAGCTCACGTTTTTACACGCAAAATCGCGTAAATAGAGAAGCGGCCATTTTTACGGGCATATTTAGAGCATCTTATTCGGTGGGTGCTATTGTCCCGGCGGAGCTATTCGGCTATCCGAATACCACTGCACGTCAAAAAACCATCATTAACGGTTGGGGAGCAACAGCACCCCAATAGCACCCCTGGAGCTATTCGGCGCCGAGCGGTGCTATTTTGGTCCCGAATAGCAACGCTCGGGGCCGAATAGCCCCCCAGAATAGCACCGTTGCTATTCGTGCAGAACATTGTAGTGCTGCCGTGGTGCTATTCACGTAGGCATAGCACCCACCATTGTGGATGCGCGCAGGGGGGCACTAGCACCGGCGCTATTCGGCAAACGCCGCCTTAGTAAGGTGGCACGGCAGCCAATGAGAACCGTTCCTGGATAACTTCGTTGGTGCAATAGCGCCGACCGATGAAGGTGCTCTTATGCATTTTTACCGCTTGTCAACACACCCAGGTTACATGATGATGTCTCAAACAATGATCAGCCCTCTGGCCCTCGAGGACCCGGAACACAGCGCCCACCTCGCCCTCGGCAGGGCAACGACGCCGTCGCAAAAGAGGTTGTTTTCTGCCCATTCCAACGTGTTTGATGCCACTTCCCAGAATTCCTGAGTCTGTATGTATTATTTTTATGCACACAAAAGCCCATTTTAATGCATTTTAAGCAGGCTTGGTTTTACGTTTACATTTACGTTTTTGCTTTTATGTTTTTATGCGTAAAAACGTAAATTTGCAAAAGGGCCTGTTTTTGCGGCTATTTTTACGTTTTTATGGCTCCTGGGACACCCAGGTCGTACGATGAAAATTGCGTACAATGATCAGTCCTCCACCAACTCCAGCACGCGCAACACAATGTCCACCTCGCCCTTGGCATTGGCGATGATGGCGCTTAACAAAAATTCGTTTTCTGCCCTTTCCAGGGCGCATAGCTGCCACTCTAAGGACTCCGTAAATCTGAATGTACTGTCCTTATGTGCACCGGACAGTTTTTATGTTGTATTTACGTATTTTTACGCATTTTTATGCGTAAAAACGTAAAAACTATTTTTACGCGTAAAAACTATTTTTACGCGTAAAAACTATTTTTACGCGTAAAAACGTAAATACGATCAGTTTTTATGGCATAAAAACCAAGCCTAATTTTAGGCAGTTTAAGCATTTTGCGCATTTTGTGCATTTATGCATTTCGCTCGTTTACGCATGTTACACATCCTGTGCATCATTTACGCTGTCTATGCATTTTTGTGCCTAGTTATGCATAAAGCAAAAGGTATTTTACGCAATAAAATAACAAACCTGTTTAATGTTGGGTAATCTGCAGCATGGATGCCAGATGCAAGTTGAATATCTGGAAAATCTTAAGAACTATTATTTTGTGATTTGAAATTTGCAACTTTGGGGCTGTGTAGCTCATCTGTTGAGCCTGGATCGGCATCAGTGCAGCTGTGCATGAATTGCCGCTACGATTCCAGAGCAAGATGGCCTGTGGCGATTGCCCATGGTTGTCACAATATCGCACCAGAAAGAAATGTACAGTTGAGCAATTTCGATCGGGGGCTGCACTAGGACTCTTTTATGTGATGCCATGTTTTGAATTGAAAGATAGATACGAGCTGTGGTGTCACCGTATGAATTTTCGGAAATCTAGATTTACAGCAGATCTGTTCTAGAGATAAATGGGGCAATGCCAGTCGCGTTTCATTGGCTGTTTAATATGCTACTACACACAGTTTGATGTCTACTTACATACTTCTGCCAGTTTCGCATGTCCGGTGGGATTGAAGTTTGCCAGGCGCTGAGGAAACCTGTTCCGGTGTTCTCAGAATTGGCACGCAACAGAGCCGGTGTGCAGCCGTGGGCATTACGTGATGGGCAGCACATGACATCACATGCATGGTTCCTGCATCTTAGGTTCGAAGTATGAAGCTAAGTATAGCACAAGAGACCAGCAAGATTCCACGCTAGTAGCGCTGCTTGTCTTGTCGTCCCCCCACAAGGCTTGCCAGTCTAAACCGCTGAAAAATTTCGCCCAGAAATTCTGAGGGAGAATTCGATGCTCCAAATGATGTTGGCCTACCGTGTACCCTCAAACAACTGTGTAAACTACACAGTTTCATAGGATGCGCGGGTATAACCGTGTCAGTGTGTGTACTAATTGTGTACTTTTGGGACGACATTTGCCGAAAGTATACAGTTGGATTTTGAGCAGACCATGTTAGGACTGTGTCATCTGGCCTATTTTTTACTAGTCCGACGGGGACTCAGATGACAGGCGCTGGTGAGAAAGAAGAGGGCACCAGCGTACCTCTGTCAATGCGCCGGTGCTCGCCACTCACCCACCGGGTGCGCACAAATTTCCCCCCAGGATCAGGATTCATAAAACAACATTTGTTATTCCGACCGCACACATGCGGCCCATCCAACGCACAGGTTGCGCCCCACACACCACAATGTCGATGTGTCGACGTGTGTGCTCACCGCCCACCCCACCAAGTTGGAGAAGTTTCTATCAAGGACCAGACTCCGGACTGGGGAGATGGGCGAGGCCCTAATCCACGGTTTTGGGACCATAGGGAGAGCGGCAAGAAAGGAAAACTCATCGCGACGGCTCCCAGGCAACTAGCCAGGAAGCAGACAGTACACACGACCAGCAGCTCAAATACCGTATTTGAATATCTTTTCACTTTTTCTGACGACCTCAAGATGTACGGATACCGTCCATCTCAGAAAGGTGAGATTCCATGCTCCTCAAAATTCATGGTCAACGCACGATCGTCATTAAATTCAATCATACAAGTGTCACCAGCCTGAGACGAACATAGTGCTACCTCACTGCCTTGTTCTGTAGAAATGAATGATGAAATAGTGTCTCAACCGCCACAATTAAATGTACACCCAACAACTGGCCAACAAAACCGTACTTTTTTTACGAGGCCCCCCCTGTGCCCAATGCAACGCGCAGGTTACGGACCCAGCCCCCAGTGCTCCGCACCGCCGCTCCTCCCCACCCACTCCCAGCCGACGCGAAGGCGCAACACGCCACGGCCCCTCCCAATCCGGGCCCCCTCCCGCCGCCCAATCTTTCTGACCCGGATCTGCCCAAATCTCTTGCCGGGTCAGATGCTCGTCTCGAGCTCGATCCCCGACGAGCCGCCCCAGCGGCGGCAGGCCAAGAAGTGCCGGTGGGGGCCCGAGACGGAGGCCGGAATCCGCGTGCTGCTGGAGAAGGCCAACGAGGCAGCGGCGGCAGCGGGGAATGATGCCGACGGCGAGCACGCATCGAAGCGGCGGCGGTCGCGATGGGCGCCCGAGGAGAAGAAGGTGCTCCCCGGGCTGCCGGAGGTGGCGCTGCCCGCGGGGCTGGCGCACCTTGTGGACGTGAACCCTGAGGGGATCGAGCTGCAGAAGCGGCTGAACGCCATCAACCAGCAGCTGCAGCTGCTGGGCGCGGGGCAGTTCGTGGACAACACGCCCGTTGGGGAGCGGTCGCCGTCGCCGGTGCCGATTTACAACCAGGTGGGCTACCAAGAGAGAAAGAAACAGGCGTTGGAGAGGCCAAACCCCTCCTAAGCAAGTGTGTATGGGACTCTTTCCGTGCTTTGGAAAGATGAAATAGAGCCTCTGATGCGAAATGATGGGCACGCAACAACAACCAGGCGTGGGATGGGTTGAGATGTGTTCCGATCCCAGGCAACCACAGCGCGCACTGGAGCGCTCCCTTCCTGAAAAAGCTATTTGGACTTGTCCGCTTTGCGGTGTGTGTGGCTGTGGTGTTGTTGCTGCTCACCACAGTGAATTCGACCAACCGAATGTGGTGCCACCAGTGCATGCATAGACAACCAATTTATTTGGTTCGTCATGTCAGCGCCCAACAAAGAGGCAACACGTGAAGGGTGCGTGCTGGTACCAAAATGTATTCTGGAATCCCCAAAAGCCACAACATACGATGGAGCAACCCTGTCCTAGACAAGTGGCTGGCCTTTTCTGCTCCGCAGCGCTGTGACTTGATGCACTTTTGTGTGTGTCGCGGTTTGTGTGCAAGCACACTTTTGTGGTGCAACCGAGCCCAGTAGCAAGAACCTCGATGTCGAGCATGTGTGGTGGGCTGCAGATCAACCTGACAGAGTTTGCCTAAACCCTGAAAGCAGGTTCCACATGATGAAGTGCTGGATTCAAGTTGGAGTGATAGTGCAATGTCAAGCTTAACAAGGGGTAGCCTACTGGAAAGAGCTTAAAACAGACAGCCATAGGACCTAGAATACCTGAACCACCATATGTGTGAGTTAATTGTCCCAGATAGCATCAAGGAAAGGCCAAGAAATTTGCAGGGATTATCAGATGAGCTCCTTTCCACCTTGTGGGGGAAGGCTGTGTGTGCGTGGGTAGGGCTAGCTTTTGTTGTGGTTCCTTGTGTGGCGTTGTGTACCAGTGTCAGCGAACTTTGTGTAGTTTGAAAAGAAAACACTAATGCTGTTGCTTAGGAAGGTGTAACCATTATACAACAAGTTTCCAGCTGTATGTGTCGGGGCAGCTGCCTGTTAGTCATTGTTATTTGCTGCATTGTTTACCGATCGTGTTCTGAGTTTGTAAATCAGTTGTGCATTTGGGGAACAGTTCTTGGCCCTGTGCTTGGCAGGGAAGTTGTGTGGTGTCGTTTCCTCTGCAGGAACCAGATTCTTATTTTGGAAGCTTTGAAAGAAACGGATATGAACCATGTCAAAATTTGATGCAAGTGGTTGTGAAGTTCTCCTCTAAGGCTTATGGACAACCTCTGAGCACAACAGCAATAGTTCGCAAAACAGAGCAGCGTGGACAATAAGCAGGCAGGTGCTCAGGAGGCCCCCAGTGTGTGGGATTGGGCCTTAGTAAAGGCGCAGTGTTGTGAAACCCATATCCCCTCGTCTGTTGTGTGCAGGAGGGCCTTCGGATCAACACCCGGGAGCAGAGGGCAAAAGACAAATTGTTGAAGGAGCGCCAAGATGTGATACGAGACCTCATCGCAAAGAACCCAAACTACAGACCGCCTCCTGACTTCCGACCAGAGAAGAAGAGCAGGAAGATCTACATACCTGTACATGACCACCCTGGGTACAACTTCATAGGTCTGATCATAGGCCCGCGTGGAAACACACAGAAAAGGATGGAAAAGGAGACGGGTGCGAAAATCGCCATCCGTGGCAGGGGTTCTGTCAAGGAGGGGCGTGTCCGCAAGGATATGAAACCTGACCCATCCGAAGATGACGATCTGCACGTGTTGATCACTGCTGACACAGACGAGTCGCTGGAGAGGGCATCTGGGATGATCGAGAAACTGCTTGTCCCTGTTGAGGAGGACGTGAATGAGCACAAGCGGATGCAGCTGCGGGAGCTGGCCGAGCTGAATGGCACCCTACGTGATTACGAGGCATGGGATTTGAAGAAGGAGGAGGCCGGGGTGTACCAGTTGCCTGGGGCTGCCAAGGAGGCGGCTGAGAGGCAGTACCAGCGGGACATGAAGGCGCTGCACCCTGATGCAGAGGTGACTGGAATGGAAGACGAGTACAAGAGCTTCATGAAGGAGCTCGGGGGAGGAATCTTGCCGCCAGTGCCCATGGAGCGTGACCGCAGCACCTTGGAGGATCCCTGCAATCTGTACGTGGGCTACATACCCCACCACCTCACTGAGGACCAGCTGGAGGCGATGTTTGTGGAGTGCGGGGAAGTGCGGGACTGCCGCATCATAACGGACCGGCAGGCGGGGCGCAGCAAGGGGTTTGGTTTCGTGAGGATGGCCGATGAGGAGGGCGCTCGGAGGGCCATAAGGGAGCTGAACAACCAGCAGGTGGACAATCGCAGACTGATCGTGCGGGTGAAGTGCCATGGACCGCCCCCAGCTGGGCCCATGGTCCGGGAGGCGCCGCGGCGCCTTGGTGTGGATGGCTCCCTGAGGAAGGAGGTGATGCAGGGGCGCAGTGAGGGCGATGGACTGATTTCGGCTGGTGGCTCAGACAGCCTCCCTCCAGCTGCGACTCCGATGACCTCTGAGTGGGCAGCCAAGACGGGCTATCAGCCGTCGGCAGTGGTTCCCACGCCAATGGTCCCTGCTGCGGCCATGCGGCAGGACTGGATGGGGGTGTACCGAGAAGATGCCCTGCCGCCAGGGGTGGAGCCACGTGACAGAGAGGATGTGGGTGTGCCCGGCTTTGCGCCTCCGGCTCCGGTTGCTGCAACCCCAAGGCCGATGGTATCGGCCTGGGCCACCGCAGATGGCAACAGGACGTTTCCCCCCGGCACGGACTTTCACATGGTGAATGGAGTGCCGCAGATGGCGTTCCCCCCTGGGGAGTTGGACGACACAGTGCCACCTGGGATGGAGCCCGCGCCCCCTGGTGACGAGAGCTTCGAGGATGTGCCCCCACCGCCGCCCCCGCCTGGGGAGCCCTTTGTGGCCGACCCCTACAGCCAGCCTTACTACATGGACTACTCGGGCAGTGTTCCTGGGGTAGGGGAGGGGGCCCATGACATGGGAACGGCCTATGGACAGGACACGGAGCCAAGTGCTGCCGCTGCCATGGATGCGTGGGCAGCCGGGGAGCCTGCCGAAAATGGGGATGCTGCTACAGAGGCGATGGAGGAGGAAGAGAAGGCGCCTGTGGACATACAGCACGTGCCGCTGCCCGCTGAGGGCCCTGGCTCGCTGGCGGATTCCGAGGCGCGAAGGAAGGCGGCACAGGAAACGGGGCCAAAGGGCGGGTCTGGCCCCAGCGATCCCAGCCCCAGCGTGGGCACGACCCACGTGCACACCAGCCTGCCCTCCCAGCAGGAGGTGTTCATGAAGAGGCGGGCCCAGGGGGCCTCCGCTGCAGGCCTGCGGGACAGGGCCGGCCCCCGCTGGGAGCGGGAGGAGAAGAAGAAATCGCCATCGCCCGCTGCTGCAAAGATACCTGCGAGGCCGCCCTCGCCGCAGGTAGGAAATTGTCAGGTGTTAGCGCCTGTTGATGGTGGACATAATGCAGCTCATATTTTGGAATCCGGAAAGGACAAAAGGTGCCCATTGACTGCAAATGAACTGATTGCCTAGTGGGTTTGTGTTTGGAACACGAACGAAGTCGTTGCCCCGTTTCAGCACTGCCCTGCTGGCGTGCTGTCACCTGGGCATCACATTTGCTCAGGCTGACATAAGCGGCGCGAACTGGATCACCCGCTGTGCCAGGATTCCCCACCATGAAACCTCTGCTGGGAAAACGCCGGGCAAACGGGCAGAAAACGCAAGAAATGACACAACTAATGTGCAAACGTGTGTGCTCCACAGGTCTCCGAAGAAGGTGAAATCGCACTCGAGCCTGGGGAGCTGCAGGAGTACATCGAGGCCAGGAGAAAGAGCTCGAGGTCTCCCAGCCGCCGCGGCTACAGGTCGCCCGGCTCGCCCCGGGATGGCCGGTATGGCCGACGCGGCTACAGGAGATCGCCTTCGCCGATGGGGGGCAGGAGGGGCTGGGGTGGGGATGCGGATTGGGACCGCTCTGACAGGCATGGCAGAAGGCAGAGCCCGGACTACAGGTACAGGAGGGACAGGGGTGGCTGGGGTAGCCGGCGATGATCAGCAGCTGGGTGCGCCCCTGCAAGGCGGGGGAGGCATGGGAGCCGGGGGGGGAGGTGCTCTGGGATTGGTGGACTTATGGTTGGGGCTGGATGAACGCCTTGGCAGTGTACTTTATTTCGCCATCATCATTGTAAACTTGGGCACATGCACCGTAAAAATTTTGGGCGACGCTCCTCCGGCAAGACGTGGAAGAACACCCCCCAGAAGCGACGCCAACTCTGAGAAATGTGCTACGATGTACGGTCTGTTCACACGGCAAGGAAAAAATGACCGGCAGGCTGAATCGCCACTGGTGCGATGGGAGTTGTGGAGGGTGCGTGCGTTCTGACCACCAGCTGTCGGCGCGGTGTCTGACGATCCCTGCCATGTGACTGTTGCCATTTCCGGAGCAGATGCATCTCACAGGGCGGCTTCCCTGTTCCAAAGCCGGGCCGTTGTCAGTGCGAGTGCGCTGCCGGTCGCTGTGGTTGCTTGCTCATCATGCACTAATGCCTGGCTGTGGGATTTTCTCTTGCTGCACGTTCTGAACACATGTGGACGCGCAGGGCCCTGCAGATCTTGTGTCCTAGGCTTGGAGCGGATGCGTCAGCGAAGGGTGAAAAATGCAAATCTACTAGTCCTTTTCGCCTGGCCATTCAACCTTGGCCGCACGCCGCTGGGCCTGAAATGAACCTCCTTCCCGATGGTCAGTCAAATCCAAGCCAAACGTGCCGCAAACGTTGGCAGTTCACTGCACAAGCTTTTTGTGCATCGTGTTGGTAGGCCTGTTGGATGAAATAGAGGCAGAAGTGTGCAGAGCGTCGGCCCAAAGGCCTGACTTCCAAATACTCCTAGCTGGGCACTGTTCAAGGCCAAACCTCAAGCGTCGCGGCAACCCCAACTGCACGGGTGGTCAATCGTTCGGGCACGTTTCGGGCAATTTGCAAGTACGTCTATTTGATAATGTCGTGATCAGAAAATGCCAGACGTTGGGCCGATGAAGCGACTTCTGGGCCGGTATGGAGATGTTTGCAGCCACAGGTGAACAATTGGAAACATGCATATATGCAGGTAGCGCAGACAAGGGCAGGCAAATGTAGCATTGCAGGATCGTGTGGCGTTGACAGGTGACAGGTGCGTGCTGCTATTGCACTGCACTTCCGGACAGCGCGAGCAAACCTCCAGGTACGCGATTCTCCTGGTCACCCAGTGTGTCTCGCACAAGCAGTTTTTCCAGGAATTCGAAAGAGACACTGGAGGGAGTGCCCACAGTTCGAGAACCGATTCTTGGGGCCTTCATGCAGTTGCAAGTTGAAAATTGGGTTTCTGCCTGAAGGCCCATTTCCGGTCCTTGACATGGATTCTAATGATACACCCCCATCCGATGTCTGGCAGTGTGGTGGGGCCAGCTCTCACTATTCCCATCTACCAACACTTTAAACCTCCCTCCCACTGAACTGCCAGCTACAAAGAATCCCCCCCCTGTGTCCACTTGTGTTATGCATGAGGCCCACCAAACACATGAAATTCCATCCCACCATTGCAGATGTGGTGCACCCAAATCCATCTGCCTTGGATATGCGAGATGTGTTGCGGCACACGCCCACATGCAAGCGGCAGCTGTCCCAGCCCCTGGGGCAGTTTCTCTCGATTCTCTGGACAACAGCTCTTCAACTCCCGCAGACCTTTGGGTAGCATGCCTGCATGCTCAACAGTCTTCGGGAGACTGTCGCTGGCTGTGAAGCCTGGCGATGCTGAATGGAGGTTACAACCCTTTTGGATAGCACTGGTTTGGCTCCTTGGATCAAGCACCCCACAGGCGCTTGGCAAAATGGGGCCAAACTGTGGTAAATTTGTGGCATGTGCCATTCAGGCAGCATTGTTGCTCTCCACATCTCGGTTGTAGGGAGTGATGTCCACGTCCTCGAAGTTTCCATCTGCAGCAAAGATGGTTGACAGCAAAGCACGCCACGCTGAGATTTGAAAACTCTGGGAGGGATGCTTTGAGTGACATTTTCCAGTTGCTGGGCACCAGCAAATTGAGGCCAGAGAATGGAAAACTGAATCGAAATGGAACCAAAGGAAAACGCACTGAGAAAGCACAAAGACGTGCAAGCCCTTGCGCTCTACTATCAAGAATGGTGTTAGCCTGTGAATCCTGAATTGTGATGCCACATTTTTACCATTTTAGCTAATTACCTTCCTGCACATAGCACAGAGCAATGACACTCTCATCCTCGATGTCTAATTCTTCAAGCCTCTTGGCATCCTCCAGGGCTACCCATCCAATGTTCCTCTTCTTCATGAGCTGCTGGCACTCTGGGGCCTGACACAGCAGTGACAGAGTCCAGGATCAAACCACATGACGCTTTGGGCAGTTTGGCCCCCTTGATGCACACACTTTTGACATTCTTGTAGAGATCATCACTCGATTCTGACGGGTGGGCCGCCATTCTTTTTCCACAAGGGGCTACCTGGAGCTTCGTTGCTTCTTTGCTTTCCGGATACCAGCAGGTTTGTGCATCCAGCTTGAGCATTGGAACAGTTTCACTACCAACAATTTCTGCTGCTGTGGACAAGGATTGACATCGCCTGACAGGTGCAGAAGAGCATTTGTTTCACTGTATTGACAATGCAATCGGTGAGGATGCCTGGTGACAATCTGCGTATACAGGCACTATACCATTCTCACATTCTGAATTGTTTCCTTGCCTTCCATGTCACTGTGCACCCCGGAAGCACCAACATTGATTCCGCTGCCAGTAATGGCCACCAACCCTAGATAACCGGCACCCCCTCTCATTGCATCACACATTGTGAGCTTCTCTTTGTCTCCCCATCTTGGTTCTGGGTCGACAATCCTAAAGCAACATATGGGATGGGTGTCCACATCTTGGCAAACATGTTGAATCTGGCAGAGGATAGACTGAGGTCGCTGTGAAAGTAGTGAAACTCCATTACCATTTTGTGAACACCAAGCAGAAAGGATCTGATTGCTTTGATGCTGCCATTTATTGCCTTACTCAACAGTGTTGATCTTTCAAGTTTATGAAAGAGTTGCAACCATCGATGGTGGAGTGTGCTGCAGGCAGCGACTGCTGTCTCTTGTCATTCCTCACTTTTTCTGCTGGTGTTTGGTGTCTGGTGTCAGGACAATCTTGGTCTCATTTGGTGCATTAGTTTTGCAAACCGCGTTGGTATAAATTCGCTTCACAGATCTGCAAGCAAAGCTGCTGTCAGAATGCCTGGTCAAATTCCAATGCAATCGGATCAGCAGCCACAGCCACAACAGCTTCCTGTACTTTCCTGTCAGGTAGGAAAAAAGCCCCTCTCCACTGCTGGGATGGGGATGGCACCTGGACTTTTCAAATGCAACAATCTGGAAGCAGAAAACCAACAACCCCATTCCCTTATTGTGAAGAGCGTCTCAGCATCCTTAGTAATCGGAACAACCCACTGAACGGCGGCAATGACACAGGCACTAGTGTGAATAATTGAAGGTTTGCGATTCTGTGACAGCATGATAAGAGAACATAACACAGGTAGATGGGGCGGGGTAGTCTGGATACAGTGATGCAAGGATGCGATCGCCTGTGCAAACTATATGTTGATGGTGGCACACAAATGCAAACATGGTTGAGGCATCACTATGGGTGTTTGCTGAGGAAGTGGGTTTGTTCCAACTGTTCCCCACCCAATGTGCATGTTCAATTTCCAACTTTGCTACTCCGTACTGCCAACAAAGCCGATGCTGTCCGATGATCCGAACTCAGTGGACACGTGGGCCACGTTTAGCTGTCGCTTTCCCAGATGCTGCAACTGAAGCGTTCATTCATTCATTAGCATAACACTCCGAGAGGTGTGGAATCCTCTGGAGCATGGATGGGAATCTCAACAGCATTCTCATTCTGGGGGGGAGTGGCTGAGCGAAAGTGGGACAAACATGAGGACATACCATGGCTGGGGCATGACTTGTAAACTCACAACCTTTGTATCCAACAGGGATCCCAATTCTATTGGAAAATTCTCTCTCTCTCGCTCTTTGGGGAGGACGCCTAATATGCAAGGCAAGTTCTCCTTCCTCGTTGAGACACGAGTTCGCCCGCCTGTTCATCTGACGATCTGAACTCTGTGGAGACACGGGCTGTGGACAGCGCACAGCTTTTCACGCTGTTGCCATTGATGAGTGAGCGAAAATCCTTGCTGGCAACGTGAAAAAGCCGTTGCTACGGATGCGTTCATTCACCTGCTCGCAGTGCTCCTGCAGCTTCTGCTTCACCTCGAGCACCGTCAGCGACGGCTCCACGTCCAGGAAGTACGTCGTCTTCTGCCGCTTCACCCGCACGTACCTCGGCCCAGACGAAGCCTGCAATGGCACAATAGGCTCCGCGGTCTCGTCACCGATGTTTTAGCGCGGATGGCAAAGCCTGGCCGGGGATCGAACCGGGTGCCTCAGGATGGGATGTCCCACTGCTCTGCCAAGCCACCTAGCCAGGGGCAGGGAAGAGGGTAGTCCAACCCCTTAAGTACGCTTCCACCCAACAGCTGAGCGCAGGCGCCAGGGAATTGGCGGGACACGGTGCGCGAGGGCCACATACAAGGGGGGTTCAGGATTGAAAAGGAAACGAAACCAGGGCGAGCAGGGGGCTAGACCAGGGAGCAGAAGATATCCACAATTGGTGTTACGACAAAGGTGTGCATATCACCCCTGTGGTATGAACAAACACAGATGCAGCCGTAAACAGGGATGCGCAGAGCCTCCGCGGTTGCCGCGGCGACGGCACAGTGCCCGGGAACAACAACAGGATTCGCGCGTGCCGCATCGGCAATAAGCACTGCGCGCCGCACGGCCGACAGCAATCGCGCGGGGGAGCGAAACGGTGCGCTGGATGGCGATCGGCGGGGGGGCTGCACGGCGGGATGGATGCACAGGACGCAAGTGCAGGATGAGGGTGCGCCAGGGTGTGTGTGTGTGGTGCGCGGATAGACTGCGAACCCCAGATTCTCCGCGCCTTGCGCAATATTGCCGGGCGCGTGCGGAGCATCCTCACCATGGGTGCGCGCGGGCAGGGCGCCTTGCCGTCCGCTCAGCCTCTCGGGCCCGCTTCAGTGTCTTGAACAGCCTCTTTGAACCAAGGGCCCCCAGCCCCAGAAGGGTATTTTCTACACCGGTGGGGTGGCGAAAAAAAACGCAGTTTTCCCTCCCCGCCCATCCCTCCCGAACACGCTGCGGGGTCGCGAAACCGGCAGGAAGCTGATGCCAGACCCCGCCCCAAGTTTTGGCGGCACCCCCCCGTTCCCGCGCTCGGCCGCCCCTGCGCCCCCGTCGCCGCGGCAAGCTCGCGCGCATCCCCTCCCCCGCCCTACAACGAACCCCTTTTCGATCCCTCTCGGCCTCCCGGGGGTCGATCCCGGCGGTCGGGCTGCCGAGGCGCGATGTCGGACGTCCAGCTGGACGCCGACGCGTTCTGCTCGCGCCTCAAGCTCCTGTACGCGTCATGGAAGGTGGGGACGCGCAATCCGCGCGGGCGCGTCAAGATGCGACGCAATCAGTGGGTTGGCATCGCACGAGAACGCGCCGCTCGAGAATGAGCTGCGCCCTCTGCGGCTTTGCAGCCCGCGAGTGCCATCATTGGTAAAATGGAATGTAAAAAAATGCTGCGGGGACCTGTGCGGGGCCGTGTGTCTGTGTGCGTGCGGGTGTCAAGATGTGGCTCGAACAGCGAGTCTCCAGCACTCAAGAATACCCCACCGTTTGAGAATGTGTTGGGTCCCCTTCGGCAATGCAGGGCTGCAGGTCCCCTTGCCTGCAAATCACGACGAAACAGAGTGCTGCGGGGGCCGTGTGTGCCTATGCGTGTGCATGTGTGATCGTATTCGCGGTGTGAAGTGTAGCCGGGAACGACGCAGCGAGGATGGCAGGTTGGGGTGGGGTGGGGTCTGAAGGGGAGAGGTTTCTGGCGCAGGAGAGGCGGTTGGAGCTGTGGCGGGGTGCCACCAGCCTGGCGATCTTTGTGGGGGGGCGGCTGGAGAGCGTGATGTACATGAAGTCGCTGGCGCTGCACATGTGGCTGTTCGGATACGAGGTGCCGGGTGAGTCCGGGAGTGGGGAGAGGGCGGGCGGGGGGGAATGGGGTGCGGCTCTCCCAACGGAGATGATTGGTACAGCCTAGCGCGGAACGTCGCGTTGGGGTGTATGCTGCGTTTCGTGGGGCTGCCCCGTTTGATTCCTTTGTCAAGGCAGGGCACGGAATGAAGCAGGGGCGCTTTGGCCCCCAAACTGACGCAGCTGCCTGTTGGCCTCTGCCCCAACCAAGTGCAAACCCGCGTCATCACTTTCCTCTGCCCACCATCGCCACCCATGCCCCACGGCAGCAGCAAAACAGCAGCAGATAAGCACCTTTGTGCTAAAATTACCACCACAAAATAGCAACGAGAGGAGACGTTGCACATTGTAGGTGAAGATGGGCACACAAACATCCAAAGCACTTCTCCATTCCTCACCCTTAATTCGTCTTTCTCCGCGCCCCGGCCGACTGCAAGGCATATAAACGATGGCGAACAAAAGCAGCAACAGCGGCACTGTCCATACCGTCACTGTCCTCCACCCAAGCCACTTGTTTGCTCTGAAATGGGTATATGGTCATGAAAACATTGAGCTGCACCAGGATTGCACCACTTTGCCGATTCTGTCAAGTTTGACATCCTGCTGCCTGTGTGCTTGTCAGATGTAGCAATGGTGTTCACAGAGGCGGAGCTGCACATTCTGGCTACGCAGAAAAAGGGTGAGCTCACGATCTCAGCACAACAAGCAGCTGTTCTGACCATTGTTGCTCAAACTTTCTGTTCGCTAGGAAGGGGAGTGCTGCAGGAACTTGCAATTTTCTGGACAATGTCCCCCTTTTTGTCGTTGTTTCTCACTGTCCCTGGGGTAGAAGATCTATGTGTGCTCGTATTTCCAGGTATCAAATGGCACAGTGCGAAGGGTGCATCCCTAGTATTTCTTGAGCTTTTGACTGTGGGAAAGGTAGACAAACCTGGGCATAGGTGTTTGTGGCAATTCGACCCAGCGTTTGCATTGCCATCATCCCTTGGACAAGAACAGGGCCTGAAAGCAAGTAAAGCAAACTTTTTCTATCCCTGGTATTGGAAATCGGCTGTATTGCCAGTTGATGTATCAGAGCAAAGCCATGTACTTGCAATACCGACAGTACAGTCATTCTACTTACGATGTTGTCCACTTCCGAATCCAAGCTATCTGCTGGTTCTCCGCTGAATTATAGCTCCTGGCACCACAAACTTGCACAAGAGAAGCTTGAAGCCCATCTGACTACTGTCCCATGTTGCCTTCAACAGTCCAACTCTTCCAAAAACTAGCCAACCCCTGCACGGAGCGGGTGGGAGTGAAGATGGTCTTCCATACAAAGCCCAAGGGTGAGGACGGCTCTGCACAGGTGGCTGACCTGATGGCAGCTATCAAGGCGTGTGAGCCCTCCGTGGTGGGCTGCCTGCCTAAGGAGCAGCACGAGGGCAAGCTTGCAGAACGGTGGGCAAGGGTGGCAGTCTGTTCAACAACATTTGCTCAAGCATGACAAAAACTGCCTGTGCACCTGTGGGCGATGACAGGTGTAATTCCATCACAGTCACATGTCACAGCCTGTTTGACAGCCGTTTGCTGGTGAGGAGATCGATTTGGGACATTCTGTAGGCAACAATGTCTCACATCGCTGTGCAGGCAGAAGGACTGTGCATTTTCACCTTGGGATGAATGTTGTCAAGGGATTTTCACAGGGTGTAGTGGTTTGCTCCACATGGTCACAGACAATCCGGTTGACAGACCAATTTGTTGCAAACTAACTTTGTTTGTTGGGGCATTCATGTCTGCCACCCATTGTGAGGTGCTTGGAGGCCATGATAACAATTGATGCTCCTTGAAGGTCTGACTCAGCAGAGACTGTTGCTGTAGTGGATTCGGTCACTCATTCAAATTCGTTCAATATCATTTGTCAATGTTTTTATCATTTTCCTGGATTCCAGTAATAGGGACAATGTACCAACATGGGCTGCGAAGCTCAACTCCCACAGAAGGAATGTAAGCAGACAGCACCGTGGCATGCGAGGTCCACAGGACTGAATGTTTGCAGTTGATGTACTTGGCAATGACAGAGTGCTTCGGTTGATGGTGTTCTGCCACTGCACACATTCGGGAAACAAACAGCCACATAGGCTGGCAGAGGGCATCGATGATGTGTCTGTTGCGAATGCACAAGGCCATGCTACATAGCCACATAGATGGCTTTTGGATACCATAGAGATGTTGGTCGAATGGCAAGCATTGACATCTGGACATGGACAACATTGGTTGTCATTGCATAGGCCAGTGCATAGGTCATTGCATAAGCGTAGCAATTTTAATTGCCAGTACACTTGAATGAACAGCAACCAAATTGGCATCCCAGGTGGGCAGAGGCCTTTGGTGAAGTGAAGGAGAATGCTGTGGACGTGTCCGCGGGCCTGGGGGCCCTGATGGCGCTGAAGGACGATGAGGAGGTTAAAAAGGTGAAGAAGGCAGCATTCCTCGCAGCCAAGGTGATGAAGGACTTTGTGGTGCCCAAGGTGAGTGGGATAGAATTGATCTGTATTAGTTAGTTTGTTGACTGAACTGGTGCATGTTTTCGCAGTTATTGATTGAATTGACAGATGACTAAATTGTTGCTGAATGCTGTGTGTTACATGTGCATGGAGCAGCAAAGTCACGTCATGCATTAACTTTTGTCTCAGCAAATGTATCAACAGACCAGTTTGTGCACAAGCATGTCCAGGAGAACTGACTGCGGCAATGCCTTGTATGCCTATGTGTATTGTGCCAATAGACTTCGAAACACCATGATGCAGTGGCCGTTCGCACTGGCCAATACATTGATTTAGTCAGACTGAGTCAGATTGATTTAGTCATCCTTGTAGACAATGCCACCAGCACACAGGTATGCAACCAGCCACCAAACAATTAATTCCTCTTTGCTAGTTGTTAACCTGATAAGCTATTATTTTGCACATGGCAATCATTTGCAGACTTGGTTCATTGCTGCAAAGCACCATCGTTACTGGCGACTGAGGAAAGGGAGCAACAGAAACAGGCAATACTCTTTCAACAAGGGCAACAACTCGCATAGAAAGGAACTGGGGCACTGTGACACAATAGTAATTCTGAGAGTGTGGAATGGATCCACTTTATATACTTCCGGGATACATCGCGCAGGCAATACCCATCAGCACTCACATTGCAGTTCCTGTGGGAAGAAAGCACAACAAGGTGTTGATTGTTGGTGACTTTGAAAATGGATACATCACAGCACCAGCAAGGAACTCAGCTTGAGAGCCCACAGAGAGTGCGGTGGGAAAGCACTGATGTTTCCACAACTTCTGTGCAAGGACTCGATGGTCATTTTGCCACTAATATTGAGACCATGAACAGCTTGCACAGCAAATATCATGGCACATTATGCATCAGCACATACCAAATACCAACCCAGTAATTGCTGCAAGAATACTTCAGAAAGATGCTTTTGTACCCAGGTCAATGAGCTTGCACTCAATGCACAAAAATGTGAATTTGGCCACATTTCTGCATACTTGCTGGTGGCAAACAATCAGTCTCAACAGTCTCTATGAAGATGGGCCCGAACGCTGATGGTCCACAACGATCTGTGCCCAAGGTCGAAGGCATCATCAATGAGGAGAAGTCTGTGAAGCACTCCAAGCTGCAGGAGCGCACAGAGGAGGTCATCCAGGAGCCCCAGAAGGCAGGCATCAAACTACGAGCGGAGAACTGTGACATCGCCTTCACGCCCACCTTTCAGAGCGGCGGCAAATACAGCCTGCGCCTAGGGGAGCCTTCCAACAGCGACATACTCAAGGACGACGTCATACTCATCGCTCTGGGCACGAAGTACAGCAACTACCCAGCCCACATTGCTAGGTGCGATGATGTGTTCCCCTGCCCCTCAGCTGAATATAATGCACAAGACCATGCCACCAACTTGATGGTGATCTGGGCGCAAACTGCTCAGACTGCCAAAGCTACATTGCATCTGTCGACCTGCGCGATCCAGAGATTCTGACAGCCTCAGTCCCAATTTATGCTGGAATGCCGCCGAACCCTGCAGACCAGCCCCAAAGGACCAGAATCCTCATCCCAGAAGTTCCTTTCCTTGCTTCACCTTCCAGACTAGAAACCACCAAATACTGGGGCCTTTGACACCACAACGGCAGCTCTCTAGGCTCCAGACCCCTGGACCACCTGCCCACATGCATTTGCCCTTTGATGCATATGGAGATCATATTTCGGACAGTTTGCTTGCAGACTTGTGCCTGCCTTCGCCTTGCAGGTGAATGTGCTGTCTGTCACCACATAGAAAATGTGCAGAGTGTGACAAATGCAGTCAAAGGATTTCGACACTCAACGCCCAGTCCCCAACACACCAGAGCCCATGTTCCCAGGTGCTTCCTGATCGACCCCAGCAAGTCCATGGAGGAAGAGTATGCAGCGCTGCTGGCTGCCCAGGATGCGGCCGTGGCCTCTCTCAAGGAAGGGGTCGAGCTCAAGGCGGCAAAGGCGGCGGCCGTGAGGGTGCTGCAGGAGAAGGGCCAAGGGCACCTTGTGGCCAAGCTGCAGAAGAACGTAGGCTTCGGCATGGGCCTGGAGCTGCGGGACTCGGCGCTGGTGCTGCACGACAGCAACGAAGCGGTGGCCAAGCCTGGGATGGTGTTCAGTGTTCATGTATGCTGCTTTTTGTAGTTGTGCCGTGATTGATTGCGCCATGGAGCTTGATTATGTGCCGCCACTGTGTTGAAAATTCATTGTTCGAAAATGACTGTACATGGCCACAGAACATTTGAAGCTACGAAGAGTAGATGATATTCACCATTCTTGATGCAAGAAAGGAGGTACAGGGATAAGGTTGCCTTGAGTGCAGTGTGATTGTTTGCACCATGGGGTTCAGTGTCGAATCATCAATGCATTTGCCAGAAACGATGGAACATGTCCATCATGAGCTGTGACGGCTGTCCGCTGGGACTGTTGGGAAAGTTACACAGGCACCATGTTGAGATTCGTGGGGCCCACAGGTGGCGGTGTCGAAGCTGGAGTGGCCGGACGCACCCAATGGCCGGTCCAAGAACTATGCACTGCAGATCGGGGACACCGTAGTAGTACAGGCAGGCGGCAAGCCACCAGAGGTCCTCACAGGCGCCTGCTCCAAGACCTGGAGCGATGTGGCATACTATTTAAAGGTGTAGTGAAGTTGTGTAGCAGGACACTTGAAAGCGTGGGCACGCTTGTCCAGTTCGCCCAGATTTGCAGTTCTGCATAACAATGTTTTGTTTCTGAACACACATTTTCATATTTCCTTTCCCTGTATTTGCCATTTCAGGGTTGTCCATTTAAAATTTGACCCGTTGTTCACTTGAGATATTGTTGTGGGTCGATTTGTGGCTTTCGGCCTTGTATTTCAAGGTGTGGTGGTGTCATGCGGGTAAAGGAACGATAGATTTGGGTTGAAATGACTTTGGCGCCACTGGCTCTTGCTGAAGCCTGCAACAGTTTTGGTGCTGCAGCATATTGTTTGACAGAAATATTTGCCAGTTCCAGCAAAGTGAGACCTGGTGTTGTCCAAAGCTGACAAAGCTCTATCCCTCCTGTTCCATCATGCACTACAGCAGGGAGCTCCGGGACATACAAGGGCAGAGCAGCAAGCGACTCAGTTGGAATAGATTAGCGCTTCCAATGAGAAAGATTAGTGTCCAACCAATATCTCCAACATGTGAGAATTGCCCAAACGGAAATGACAAAAAAATACACCACAGAAACTCGAACAAGACAGGATAGGAAAGTCCTGAAACAGATAGCTAGGGTCGATTCAGCAAAACAGTATTGACACAGATCAGAATCCAATCTTTTGCACTGTGCCACAGGATGATGAAGAAGAGGGTGAGGAGGATGCTCTGGCACCCTCTCCGCCGGCTATCCTGGAAGAGGGCTCCCGACGCAGGACTCGAACAGAAGACCCTGGCTATGGCAGCAAGGAGGCACAACGGAAAGAAATACAGGACTCCCTGTTGGCCATTAAGAATAGGTGAGCTGACCGGGCTGCCGTGCCTTGCAAACGGTTTGTGACACTGCCAGATTGCTGGATTGTCTGTTTGAGGGTTTGTGAACAACCCTTCCAGAACAAACACTGTGACAGCCATCACATAGAGTTGGAAGGAACCGCTTGACTGCATGTTACACATGTGGTGAAGGTTGTGCCGTTCACAGTTGCACACACAACCCCACTCCCCCTGAGTGTGTCGCTTCACTTTCGTTTGCTCTATCCTCTGGTTGCATACCTGTCCTGTAGCATTGTTGTTGCAATGGCTTTTGTGGCATAGACAGTTCACCCAAGTTCAACTGGTCGGGAGGGAGGAAGCCGTGTTTAACACACATTCGTTATCACGAATTCAATGTTCCCCGCTCGATTTCAAGCTGACCTCTGCTGCACTCTGAAATTGTGCACCTTGGAAAAGGGACTCAGTTCCCATCGGTGTGCATTGTGGAAATCTTTGTTTTCTCAGCTTGGAAATCTTTCTGTCAATTGTCTGTTCATTTTTGCTCCCTTTTTTTACCTTTCCTTTTCCATTGACTTTTGGAGTTACCCAATTTCACTACCATTTCTGGCTCTATGAAAGCCCTTGCTTTCTACTTTGTTTGTTCTTATTGTCTGGAAATCCTTGTAATTGTGTTCCTTTTTACTGGAAATCTTCATTTTTTTGCTTTATCTCACAGGTGCTTTCCCTTTTGGCAATACAGTGCATTCAAAGCCTACTCAAACATCCCAATTGCTTTGCCCTTGGCCTCAAACTGAATTCGCTTCAAGATTAGCAATGAGCTGGAGTTGATGAAACGAATCTTTGGCTGTCCCATGCAGAGAGACGTATCAAAGGCTGACGGCTGGAAAAGATGGACCAGCGGAGGGCGCCAGCACAAGTGGCCGCAGGGTGTCTGAGATCCAGGCCTACAGGAGCCCAGCGGCACTGCCACATGCGCGGGACCTGGCAGTCATGGTTGACCAGCCTAACGAGTCTGTGCTGCTGCCTATACTGGGCGTCATGGTGCCCTTCCACATATTGACGATCAAGAACATCAGCAGCCACACGGTGAGTTGTTGATTTGGATCAGCAGAGCTAACGAACCACAGCAACTTGCTGTGATTTCTGATCCGCTCACTGCCTTCCCCAGAATTGCTTATCCTCACATCATTTAGATTTGGCTTTCACTGTTGTCGCATACACTCTTCTTTGACATGCCGCAAGGCCAGCCCTTTCCCCGTGTGCCATGTGCTCTGTGACGTTTGGCACTGGCACAGGAAAGAAGGGTGCACAGTCCGATGGATGCCCTCCGGGGATCTCAGACACCTCCAGATCTCGCTCCCTCGGTTGTATTTAGTTATACCTGGCGCAAAAACAGTCACTGATCTGCTTGCATATGTGGAGCATCACGAACTTCTTTTCTCCATCCCTTACTTGTAGATCTCTGGGAATGAAGTAAGTCTGCAGCCTGAAAACAATGCCCCAGTTTGGGTCCAGGGCTATCCCTGCCTGAGTGGGGTTCTGGCTGGCTGCTGCAAGCACCTCTTGTCACGGGAGGCATGAGCTGGCATCCTTTGTTTTAGCTTGTATATCACCTGATTTTCATCCCCCTGTGCAGTTTCATGGTGAATGATAAGTGTACTTGGGAACTTTGTGTGTCACGTTGTTTTGAAGCTTGTGGTGGACAGGCTGTGTCCACCAGACAACAACCCTTAGGATAGGAGCTGCAGGAACCAATACCTCCTTCGATCACTTGAGCTGCGAAAGGGTCTTGGTGCCATGTCCTGTTGATTTGAAATGCATAGTTTTGTACTGTGGCATTGCTCGATGATTTTTGTCTCCACTCTTGCAATCGTTTCAGTTTACCATGTTTAGGTTCGTTTGAAAGACTTGGAATCCCACGCATACAAGAAACTATTTTTCCAGAATGCTTTGGTGTCTGGTGTGGTTTAGTGCGAACGGGATTGGGTTGTGAGGTTGATGAAAAACTAGGAGAAGAATCGTTTCCTGGCTGCAGGATGGGGACCATGCCTACGTACGCATCAACTTTAACTTTGGAGGGAACTATGAGCCTGCCATGAAGATGCCGCACAGCATCTTCCTCAAGGAGTTGTCCTTTCGGTCATCCGATGTTAGGCATGCATCCAAAGTTGTCCAGGAAATGAAGGTGCTTAGAAGCACCATAGTGCAACGGGAGAAGGAACGAGCAGAAAGGGCGACGCTTGTGGAGCAGGAGAAGCTTATCAAGACCAAGGTGACAATTGCATTCTTCAGCAGGAAAATCTTGCATTGGATGCAGAAGGTAGCGAATTAACAGTGCAGACAAGGACGAAGCTTGTGAGATATGGTTTGATTTGATATCAGATTTTTATGTGTTGATGCTGTAAATTGTTCAAAATGACATTAATGTAAGGACATTGTTGAAGTACCATATTCATCTGTGGACTGAAAGCATCCAATACTGTGCTAGAGACGAAGGTTGGGAGCCAGCTGCGTCATGTACTGCCAGTTTGCAGGCCGTGCATGACAGTCGACAAGGAAACGATTCCAAAGGAATCTGCCACTATCTCAAGAGGTGCATCTTTCAATGCCTGGAGACACCTCGTTGGAACTGAAGAAATTTGTGGATGCGCATTTATCTGCCCATCCTGAGCCTCGCAGAGTGCCTCTGTGCCCCAAACCAGAAGGAAGGGAACTATGAAGATGCGCGTGAGCTGATGTGGCAGTTGCTTGTTTTGGTGCAGCGCGTCATACGCCTGTCAGACCTGTGGATTCGGCCCAACTTTGGAGGCAGGGGCAGGAAGGCCACAGGCACCCTGGAGGCCCACCAGAATGGTTTCCGGTACAGCAATTTTAAGGGCGAGCAGCTGGACATAATGTACAGGTCAGTTCAAGCCTGGGGTGGCCTTGGTGCTGGGTGGGCCCTGAATATGTTGAGCAGCATGTTTTCTCGGCAACAGATTGAAGCGACAGGTTTTTAAAGTTGTGGCTGAACTTCAATGGTTGAATGTTTGTCTTCTGCAGCTTTTTGCAGATCCTGGTATGCTCAATGCATTAAGCACTAGGAGAATTTTTTGATTGCATAGTATTGTTGCAATTATTGCAGTTGATTGTGCATCCTTGGGTTGTGCATCCTCAGAGTCCTTTTGTGTACAGGAACATCCGCTTTGCATTCTTCCAGCCTGCGGAGAACGAGATGATAACTCTGGTGCATTTCCACCTTCACAACCCCATTATGGTTGGCAAGAAGAAGACAAAGGACGTGCAGTTCTACACAGAGGTGATGGATGTTGTGCAGACGCTGGACGGCAACCGCCGATCCATGTATGACCCAGATGAGATTGAAGAAGAGCAGAGGGAGAGGGACAGATGCATAAAGGTGTGTGGCTCTTGCCAGTAAAAATGAAGCTAAAAGACGGTTTTGATTGGTGCTGCATGGACACAATTTGTTCTGAGGAAAAACTGTTGGAAGTGAGCACATTTAAAGTATTGAAAGTATGTCAAAGCTGAATTAGTATTCTTGTGCCAGCGTGGAGTAAATGCTTTGTACCTGTTGCTTGTGGTGGAACTTTTCAGAGGTGAAAATGGTCTCTACAACAGATACGAAACGCACCTGTTTACAGTGGGATACCTACTGAGCAGAGGTTTGGTGATCCTGGTTGCTATGCAGCAAGAATGAAGTAGAAGTGTGTGTAGTTGTCTTCAGACCTGCATACCTTCAAGTTTGGTATCGCTTGGTGCAATCCTTCTATTTGTATCAGAAATGTTTTTTTGGGTGTGTGTGTTTGGTTTCTTTCGTGTTTACCATGGTACTCTCTGTACGTTGCGAAGCTCTTGTGGATGGATTTGTTGCGTATTGTTGCGCGTACTAAAATGTGGCCATGAAGAGGAATTGCTGCACAAATGCTCATCCTTGATCTTCGGATGCATTCACCTTTGACTCTATTCATACTGGAGGGTATATGAACTGTTTGTGGAACAAAGCACTGTCGATGATAATATCCTAAACATCGGCTTCAAGGTGTGATAGCAGTGTGCTTTGTCATTATTTGGCGACTTCCACCAAACGATTACGCAACTTGAGTGGCGCACTAAGCCTTTCACCATCAATTTTCTCCAGGTCAACAGAGAGTTCCAGACCTTTGTGAAGCGAGTCCAGGAGAGCTGGGAGCAAAACTACCAGTAAGCCAAATGTGTCACAGTTCTCGCTTTCAATGCTCAAGTTCAGCCAATTGTAGGATCTGCTGACCCCCAACTCAGGAGAGCCCATTCTTTGGTGTTCGCCACGTGTATCATCCATACATGCTTTGATGTTGGCCTTTGATGTTGAGCAGCAGATGCACAAGGCTTTGGTTCACTGACACACACCTGAGTGTGCATATCGCTGCTGCCAGTCCGAATCCATACTGATGCCTTTGTCCAGTGCTAGCAAAACTGCAAGCACATCCCGAGCATGGAATACCTCTGCCTAAATGGCAGCAGCTGTTGTCCATCGGAATTCAAAGGGAAAATGGAAAGAATGTGCAGACACCTGCTGTGAAGCAAAAAAGTCGACAAGACAAAACAGCCCAATATAGGCCAACTGGTAAAGGGACAGTGCCTGCAATGTTTTGTACATGCGATCACCGCAGATTTTACTCTTCAAGCTCCTTGAGTGTGGCTTGACTGTTGTTGGTGATGAGACCCATCAGCCATGCACAGAATGCCGCAGTAATGCCCACTTGAACCCCTTGCAGAAACAGCAGAAAAGGTATACCCCAACCGAAGTGTACTGAAATGCACAATGCAGTGCACTGCCAATGTCTCCATGGTGCTTGAGTGAACAGCAGCCTTGACAATGACCATGGCAGGCCAAGCAACAGGATTTAAATGCTCCTGTACCCTTTGTTGCCTTCAGGCAAAAAGGCTTTGCTTGACATGTTCCAGGCACGCATGCCAATCGATTGTATTGACATGCAGCACAGTGCACCACAAGGAGATCATGTGGTCTCTAGCACTTGTGACCCAGCTCCATGCCCTGGCTTGAAGATTGTGTTCGTGTGCCTGGTGTTCAGTGACCTGCACCTTGAGTTCGACATCCCGTTCCGTGACCTTGGCTTCAACGGTGTGCCACACAAGTCCACGGCCTTCCTGATGCCCACCGTGAACTGCCTTGTGGAATTGATCGAGATGCCCTTCACGGTCATCGCCCTTGAGGACATCGAGATCGTCAACCTTGAGCGTGTGGGATTCAACCTCAAGAACTTTGACATGGCCATCGTCTTCAAGGTGCCAGCAATGCCTTTCACATCATCTCTATTGTTAGAACCTACTGGGGTGCAACTGGCGTTTCGAATTGAATGAACCATACTGCTCTGCCCTGTATTGAATTGCAGCTGCAAAGCACCTCATGACAAGCTACTATGAGGTGCTTGAATTTTGTACCAGTTCCTGTGGGAATGGCTCCTTCCAAGGTACAAAGCTTGCTTGTGGACTGTCGCTGCAGCTTGTGTTGCTGCAACATGGATGATTTCTTTTTCGCGTTACCAACAATTGCTTGGAGTCCTTAAAGTTACTGACTGTCCAGGTTAAGACATCCCAATGTCCTTTTTGCTGGGGCACCCACAGAGCAACTGTGTGCGTCAGATGATTTGCTTTCAGCTCGATGCTACAGGAACAAAGCCCTTTTTGCATCCAAAGGGTGATGATGATCACAGCAATGTCCACCCGGTATTCGCACAGAGTCTGCATTGTTCGCGGTGCATTGCACACTGCCCATGTGCATGGAGCAAAACACGAGATAAGAGCATTAGGCCACTGCAGGAGTTGACATTGCATCCTTTGACCCCTTGCTTCCCAGGATTTCTCACGGGAGGTGTTTCACATCGATGCGATCCCCTCTCAGTCACTGGACACCATAAAGGAGTGGCTGACCTCCGTGGAGAAGAAGTACTATGAGAGCAAGATGAACCTGGCGTGGAAGCCCATCCTCAAGGACATCATGGAGGACCCCCAGGGTTTCTTTGACAATGGAGGCTGGAATTTCCTGGACATCGACGTGAGTGGCATCATCGCAGGCGCCATCATTGAGCTGTCCATTTTGTGTGCTGTCGATGGGTTGGCAACTGTAGAATTGCTGAAAATAGTGTGCTGGCATTGTGGCAGACACGAGTGGCCAGAATTTCTGTTGCTGCCACAGCTACATCATTTCACGCATGGTCAATTTGTGTTGCTGTTATGTTCGTTGTGTGAAAACGTGTGGCTGCCATGTGCCATGAATGGCAAGTTTTGATGAGTGGCGCATATTTGTCATTACCACCATTCCTGAAAAATGTAATGGTCTGCAGAGCTTTCCCCAATCAGGTGATGCTGAGAACATAAAAATTGCCTGGCCAGCTGTCATTTGTGCACTGAATGTCAGAAATCCCCAAATGCAGCAGGAATCGCTTCTCAGAAGTCAACATTATTAGAGCGCATAGTTTGTGTGTATCTATGACTGATCCAGCACTCTGTTTCTACAAATACGTAAATGCTGATCCAACCAGTGCAGGGTGGAACACCTGCTCCCAAAGGTGTGGCACAGCTGCCATGAAAATCTTTTTATCACATCATGTACAGCATGAAATGGAGCTTCGACGTTTTGAAGTAGACTGGGCGCACCCGCACAGTAGCCATGCTTGTGTGGGGCAATTTCATTTGACACTTGGCCATTTCTTGTTTCTCTAATCGCTCTTTTGCGTCAGATCTTGCAATTCTGTATGGCACTGCCTTAAGTTCTATGCCTTCAGATCCATTTGTTGTCTGGATGCTTGGTCCAAGCCGCCCTTTTGATATTTGCAGGCAAGCGACAGCGACGAGCATGAGAGCGACGCGGCCTCCGAGTTCCAGCCCGACGGTGACGAGGAGGAAGCCTCTGCTGACTATGACAGCAGCGAGACAGAAGCTTCGCTGGTGGACAGCGATGAGGTGGTGACGGAGGACTCAGACGACTCGGATGGTGGGGGTGAGGAGGCAGAGGGGCTCACCTGGGAGGAGCTGGAAGAAGAGGCAAAGAGGTGACACTCTTTCAGTATATTTGATGCGAGGCTTACCACTCAATGGCACCTGGTGAAGCCATCATTTGCCGAAATGGCATTAGGCAAGCAGTGCTTGACGTTGGCATAGTTCAGTTTGATCATTTGTTGTACTCTTTCCTTTGTTCAAGTTTGCCTCCATTGCCTGAGTTTGGTTTTGATTCACTCGGTTCACTCCAGCACTGCAGAATATTCAGCTGTGTTCCTTTTGTGTGATGGGGGCAAGGAACTGGATGCAAGCAAACACTGCATGGTGCCCCAACGGGCATCATTGGTCAACCCAGTGACAGATTTTTATTTTTTGTACCCAACATCCCACTGCGCAACATCTAGAAGTTTCCAAGCTTAGTTTTGGACTTTGTTTTCTGTTTTGATGTCTGGGATCGAAACCTTGAAATCGCTTGTTCTGCTTGTGTTCGCAGGCAAGACAGGCAGAAGGGCGAGTTTTCTGACAGCGAAGATGACGCCAAGAAGAAGAGGAAGAAGTCATCTGCGGGGGGCAACGTTGCCAAGCGACCAAGAAAATAAATTATATACAACATGACTGGGAGAGGCCGAGCGGGAGTTGAAAATTGCCACAGCAGAACGGCAGCACAGATTCGCATTGTTTACAGTATCCAAAACATGACGGATCGCTGCCATGTCGCCCGTTGTGGAACGTTAGTTGACGGACAACAAAAAGGGCCGTTTTGGATTCTTTCGGGCCATTTTGGCGGCCGTCAAGGACGCTAATAGATACAAATGCAGGTGGAGAGTCTCCGCTGGAGACGCCTTGGGCCTGGAGGTCAGTGAGTGAGTGGCTGCTGGCGTGCCCTCGGGATGAGTTGAATGTGGGACTCAAGAGCGATGTAGCATCTGATTCAAGAGCGATGTGAGACAATCCATTTGATTGCATTTGTCGAAAGCACCATCATTCATTCGCCCAGCATGGTTGTCGCGTGCCGCTCCCCCTTTGGATTCGATTTTGAGACAAAGCGGCCCGAAATCAACATAGTGTGATCCCCTATCTTCAAAAGAGAGATCGACTACCCCAATGCAGATGGTCCATCCTCACTCTGCAAATGCCATGCCAGATCCTACCGGCAGATCCTACCGTCGATGTACATATCAGGAGTTGGGGCTCAAAACCAAGCTCACGTCGAGTGCGCCAAAATCACCACTGGTTTGGATTGAATCAATTTGATTTGGTTTTGATTGAGGTTGGATTGAATCAATTTGATTCATTGCTATCCCTTGAACAATACACAACGAAAAGACAAAATCAGGAGTGGTGGCCAGAGGATGGTTTCGAGCAGATTCCGCAGAAAAAAAGGACCATAGCTCGCAGCCAAAATTGGGATGTCGACAAGCATCCCGTGGTGTTGTGAGTGGAGGGCAAGAGACACCTGGATCAGTGCAAGAGCCTGTACGTGACAAAAGAACAATGGTCTGGAACGCTGCGTATGCTGACAACAACCAAACAAGAAGTGCAATTTTGGGTCTAGGACTTTCAATTGTTAAAAGGAAAAGCCTTCTGGAGACACGATTCAGCAGTGTGAAAGAAATGGCTTACACGATCCAAAAGGCATAATAAGTTAGAACTAATGCGTGCACAACGCACGAATGGCATGCAAATAGCAAAACATTCAGGAGCCACCATCACAGCTTGGAAACATGTTTCCACCAATCCCCCCACACTTGTTGGATGCATACCCTCCCAGAAATGGCTGTCAAAGCTGTTGACAATTTGCACCCCGGAAATCAGCCGTGCCCACGAGTGTGAGACTATTCACGCATTGTAAGCAAGAACTACGGGTCAGGCATCAAAGCACTGCGATAGTGTATTCCAGAATAGAGATAAATCAGCATATAATTAGGAGGAATCCTACATTACTTTGGCAAAGCAGAAAGCAGTACATCATGCAAAGAACAGCATGGATTCAGACACATAAAATACAAGTAAATGCAAGTATGGAAAACAAGGAAACAAACGCCAAACATCATGGGACGTGAGTTGCAATTCGGCAAAGCCACAAGCAATATGATGAATAGCCTCAAATAATTTTAGCTACTTGTGCACAAACCACGTCAATTTACTCCTTGCATGCCTGTTGAATTTGTTGTGCTTGATAACTAATTCTCAATGGTCAAAGAGGGGTAAAAGATATCCGCAACCGTTCGCAACATCTTAGGGAACTCAGAATACCAGGACTGCAATTATGTACAACAATTGCGCAAACGCTCCCACAACCGACAGCAACAATGTGTCTCGGACTTAAGATTTCTGAACAACGTGCATGTTTCCCTTCGTAGTCTGCAATGCATATCTCTTTGTGGAGGAGACCCCATGGCCAGATATGCCTGGGTTTCGGCATATCTATCCAAAGTGCCATTTTGCGATGCTTCCTGCATGATAACCCAACAAAATTGCCCCCTGCGGTTGCTGCGCCTTGATCTTCCAGCTGTAAAAGCAGTACCAATGATGGTGAATATGATTCTAGGAAGCAAGCAGTAAATTGGGGCATGAATGGAGAAAACAAACCGAATGCGCCACCACGCAGCAGGTTCGAATGCACAGTTCTCGTGTCCAGTCCACTGTTTGAAGACTACGTCAATGCCACCGTGCTTTTGCCATTGGAAACGCGCCAACAACTGTACGCTTCAGTGTCTCGTGGTGCTGACGCATCAACACATCATGCACCACAGTGAGGAATCAACATCCAGCATGCCCCATGCGAAACAGTAGAACGCCCATCAGTGATTCCAATTCATCAGGCTGTGGACAATCGAAATATACTTTTGCAGAGGCTTGAGCTCCGGTGGCATCCAAGAGATTGGGATATTGAAACCCAGAGGATGTTGTACACAGCTGTTTGCAAACGACATTTGCTTGCATTTCACCAAGACCCTTCTGCATTGAGACGGGCTTGGACATTGTGTCTAGGATCGAAATTGCAACAATAGGAGCACGACCGGCCCCCCTGATTCCCATACACACCCACTTCCCTGACGGTGACGGAGAATCGATGCGTACATTGCAGTGATTAATATCATGAATGCATGGATGCACGGATGCATACAAATAGGTGGCTTGCCGGATTGGCAGCCCCAGTGCAGAACGGGTTGCCCAGTGCGCCGTTTCTGCCACAGCCGACCTGCGAGCTCGCGGCCACCATGGCCCGAGCATCAGCGGCCTTCGGCTCCAGCGCCCCCCGGTTCCCCAGGGAACCCGGCTGGGCGTTGAAACTGAGGCAAGGGCGCGCAAAGGCGCAAATGCCAAAGAAGAGCGGAGGAAAGGTAGGTTATACGGTAAGCAATGAAACGGATGGCTGTTGCAGTAGGGGTGCGCAGCACGCGCAATACAGTTCTGCGTGTGAGCGGTTTCAGCAGGGCTGCCTTGTGTTGGGCATTTGTGGTCACGGCGACGCTCCCTCTGATTGACCAGTCTTGACTGCAGTGGCGACAAATTGCATCGCTTGCAGCTCTGTATCTTCTCTTTGATTTTGATAAACATTTCTGTTTCTATAGGCGCTAGTCCCCATCAAGGCGGACCTGCCTTCTCTCCCGACGCGCATCCCCATCGAGGCGCCCATGGCAGCGCCTCAGGTAATCAGTGGCTCAGGGGCTTCACTATCCCTCATTATTTGCCTATTTCATTTTATTGAGAAATTGCATTTTCGGCCAGAATTTGAATTCACGTATAGATTTGCCGTTGATCCTCCCTGAAATGCTTCTGAAAAAGTCAACACAACTAAGGGCGGGGAGGAAAGTGCTTGTTCAAACACCGATCGGCCACTGGAATTCCAGTTTAATTTGGTGATATGCTTTCTTTAAACTCTCAACTTTTATACCTGCGTCACTAAATATGTTCTCTACAATTGTAAAATTCATTATTTTGTGAGCGACAAAGTATTCAAAATTCATGTTGGGTTACCTCTGGAAAGCCATGGACACAGCACGTTAATATGCTACCATGCCGCGAGCGCCATCTTTGGAATTTCAACGCTACAGAGATTCTGTACACAATTTCTCTGACTGGTGTCGGCTCAGATTCAACAGTGGAGCCATGCCCACTTGCGATCATTTCCATGCAAGCAGGAAGATTTTGCATCCCTCATCATGGGCGGATTACTCAAATACCACAAGCAAGAGGTTGAATAAGGATTCGCACTTGAGTTCAACTCTCGAAGCATTACACAGTCGTCATAAGGAGTTGACACCCTTCGATATCATTTCTTCAAGGTTGACATATTGTGTAGTGCGTATCAGCAGTACGGATGTATACTGTACATTACGCTTGTGGAAATGGTTTTGCGTGGGTACGCAGTACGTGGTACATTAACCCACATTCAATATACACACTGATGGTGGCAATGACTGCTGCGGGCTCAGTGATTAGTCATGAATGATCAGTGAGGCATAAACAGCTGTATTCTCAACGTACAAAGCAACCCCTTGATGCAGAAAAGCCCCGCAATGCCCGCGACATCCGCCGCCACAAAACGACTTCTCTTCCCCAAGACCCTTCCCTTTACATACCCTGGAAGCACCTGCAAGGAATCTCCAATCGCATTGAATCATGATGGCCTCGATCTATAGGGTCGCCTGGTGGCTAATATCCAATTTCTGAAACTTGAAATGGTGGTGGTAAACCCAAATATGACCTTAGGGCAGTGGTCGCAAAGAAGTGGGCAAACCTTTCCATCGTGGCGATGATGCACATTTGAACGGTGATTCACAACTCGCGTGGCCATCTGCAGTCATGCTTTAAGCTTTTTTGGAATTCCACAAGGGAAATTTAAAACAGGTCCATGTCTTTGTATTTAGTGTCCTCTTGTAAGATTTTGCTTTCTGCAAATTGATGTACTTCAACAATGGCGAGTTCGTTGGGCCGCCGGCAGCAGTCGCCTAGTCATTACTAAGACCCGTGCTTCCAAAATGATTGTAGAATATCACATTGAGAGTTTAACTCTCAATTCTTCGTGTAACTTACACGGGATTTGGCGATACAGAAAATCT